TGCTTTTACACGTGGCAATTGAAAACAGATAATTTTTTACCTCATTTATGTTTATCGTCCGAATTTCTGGTTGGAAAATAGTTAAAATTTTTATTCGCTTTAATTAAAAACATTAATTAATTGTATTTAATATTTTTTTTAATGAATGTAACTTTATGGTCATTTTTTTAGTACCCATAAATGTTGGATAAAAACATGTTTTTACGTTTATTTTGTAAAATTTAATGCACTTTTGTTACATTTTTTTACGCTTTTCAACCTTATAAATTTATATTTTTGTTTCTTCTTCTCTTTTTATAAATTTCTTTACAGCTAACACGTAATAACACGTAACTAATTGAAAAGAACACGAACTTTACTTGGTATTTTACATTCTTTTTTTACTTGTAGTAAAGCTAGATCATGGCATACAATTTTAATTAATTTTTAATATAAATCTCACATGCATTTTTTTGAAAAATGATCAGGTCTAGTACCTTCCTTCTGTCACCTTCATTGAGAAAGACTGATGATAGACCTACACTACAGGGTATTAAGTAGGCGTAATGTTGTTGGGGTATATAGCACATTTACTATCGTCTGGTCCTACATTAACTAACCTCCCTTTCTGATAAGTAATGGTATGATCCGAAGCCGTGCACTTCCGGTTTGTTTGGACCTAATCGATATTTAATGTCACAACTCACAAACAGCTTTAGATGGACACGAACGAGGATTTCCTAAATAGGACCGTTATACTATTAAAATATTCGTTAGAGTAATCAAATGTAAATAACTATGTTCCCTCTCCTTTGCTTTTATGTTTTGTCATTAAGGATTTCGTGTTTTTGAAAGAAGTAACTGGGCGGAGTTGATAAACATTGATGACATTTTTCTAAAACTTGAAAACAATGTTCTTTAATGGGTTTACGTTCTCGCAGCACGTTTGTTAAAGGTAGTTAACCCTATGTTACATGCACTATTTTGGGGTTTAATTTCTAAAGTTTTCTCTACTTAAAATGCTTTTTTCTATATAAATAAATAAGTATTATATTGGTTAAAATCTCAAATTTTACTGATTAAGTGCTGACATTTAACGATAGTTCTGTACTATCATCACCTCCCTTAAACAGGTTTTTTTAGAGATAAAATGCTGATTCCTAATGCATTTAAACATTTATTTGGAAGTTTTAATTAATTCGATAGGGTAAACAGTAGCTCAGATCTCACTTTAATTAAGCTATTAACTAATCTTTAATCCCCTTAATCCCACGCTCCAGTGGATTATTTTTAAAAAAAGAGCTAGAGACAGAGTATCCAGCGGGTGGGAAGAGGGTGACAGACAAAAGAAATTTCCGTTTGGTGCACGTCAATTGCTGTCCATGTGGAAAGAATGAAGCCCCCGTCTCAGTTGGCTATATTAAAAGCTACCAGTCTATTCATGACCCAGCTAGGAATCCCTGTAAAGCTTTCGACCAATGTCCAGCAGGGATAGACGTGTATGTAATTGCATTCTTCACTCCGCCGTAAGCCTGATGGATAGAGGAGTGGACTACGAAGGGCACCAACCAACTACTGCCAGCTAATAAAAGTGACCGTGTGGAATCTATCGCGTCCAGCCCATTGTCTGTCACAGTCGTGTTGCTCTCTACTACAGGCCCCGTTTCGACTGAAGGACTGCGCTGTCCCATCTCTAGCTGGGCGTGGAAGACGAATGTCGATATACGGAGTTTGGGAAATTAAACTGTGTGCCCCTATCAATCAAGAGGGTTGACTGTGGATCTCCCCCCCAGTTTCTGCGTGCTCTGGGGACGACTGTACCCCATCACGCCCTAGTAGAAGGCTCCCCCGACTTAAGTCTACTTGTTGTGCAAGCGCTGATTGGTCCCGGCTCTAGCTAGGACCCACTAGTGAAGTCTCAATCTCCAACTGGACCATTTATCAATGCCAAGGATCGTTCTGCATCCGTCGCTACTACAGCTATTTGTAGCTGCCTTTTGGGAACTTGTTGACAATAAATGGAACACCGTCTCTGTATTGGTGGAATGGGCAGCTTTTGTTACTTTGCCCTCTGAGAAATACTGCAGATAAAAACAAATTTTATTCCTCTTAACTATAAATAGGAGGGCTGAATGACAAAGGGGGGCACGTTTTCACCATTTCTGCTTTTCGCAGCCTTCCTCTTTCAGGTGGGCATGTCTTCTCTCTACCCCCTTGATTTATTTTAATATAAAACGCTTCGACACGTACAAATCACAATGGTGTCGAGTAGAAGGTTTCCTAGTAATATACCAAGTTCCCACCTCTACATGTCTAAAGGTTACACGAAAGCCACCTCCTATAATTTATTAAAGTAGCAGTCAACCATATTGGCACGAAGACTTCTGTAATTTCGGGGACGGACTGACGGGGGGGGGGTTCTAACTGGTTTTATAAATAAATCTGTGATGCAAAAGCTAAACAAGATACATTTGCTTGTTGTTAAGCGAACGTTTATTAAATTAATTAGGCTCTATCGATCGAAAAAATCACCGAGTTTCCTTATCGCTCTGATTTTTCCATCGTTAGAAATGGCAAATTTTCATAGAAAATTCTTTAAATTTATCTGATATAATTCTAGAACAGAGAAATCTTGATCTAAATTTGGAACATTTAGAGATGAATCATCGTTTTCTAAGAATAAAACTCTGATTTTTTTTCTTCTACATTTCTATTCTAGATTAATTAGAGCTTAATAATTGGATAAAATAGCCGAATTCTAGCGCTAGATAGGTTGGATTCGTATCTAGAAGCATCTAGATAGGGACATATCGATTCTGGATCCAAAATTGGGGCCATCTTCTGGTTATAGATAAAAATCTAGATCTAGAAGTGACACGGTTCTAGATATAACAGATCCTTAAATGATTGGCTCTAGATAAAATATAGACAGTTTCGATTCTCTATAACTTAATCTAAGGTTTATCTAAAGCTAGAGCCTTATCTTACACATATCTAAGCCTTAATTTACATTTACTCGAGCCTTATATATAGCTAGAGCAGAGTATTAAATATGCTCGAGCCTATTTGTGCCTTATATAAAGTTAAAGCATAATATTACACGTTAAGCCTTATATCGATTTGAACCTTATATCGAGTCTTACGTTATATTACACACCCTTCAGCCTTATGTCACTTTCCATTTGAGCCTTATATTACACCTACTTTACTTGAGCCTTATCTAAGGTTTATCTAAAGCTAGAGCCATATCTTACACATATCTAAGCCTTAATTTACATTTACTCGAGCCTTATATAAAGCTAGAGAAGAGTATTAAATGTGCTCGAGCCTATTTGTGCCTTATATAAAGTTAAAGCATAATATTACACATGTTTGAGCCTTATATTGAGTTTTACGTTATATTACACACCCTTCAGCCTTATGTCACTTTCCATTTGAGCTTTATATTATACCTACTTTACTTGAGCCTTATGTAATGATATAGCTTCGTATAAGGCTCGAGTAGGTGTGGAACGTTAGTTGAAGCGCAAATTAACAAGAAATTATCTAAAATTTAGGGTAGAACTTAAAATAAAACGTACATTTTTTAAACCAGATATCCTTGTAGATAGGCAAGAAAATAGGATTGATTCCAGATGCAAACATAGATCGATTCTAGATGCAAACATAGATTGCATCTAGCATCGATTCTTTAAATTCCAGCATAGAAGAAGAATAAGGGGGGAAAAATACGAAGATTCTAGGAGATACTGAGAACGATTGATTCAAGATACAAACATAGATTGATAGCGAATGCAAACCTGGATTGATTTTAGATACAAAAATTGATTTGTTCTAGATAAAAAAAGAACACACAGAAAACACAAGAAAAAATTCAATTCTGTACGTCTCTACAACAATCGAGGGAGTTTTATAAGTAATTTTAACGCGCCAATTCCTCCCCTATACGAGGTAAATTTACGTACAGAACGATATTATGAATTTACTGAACGATACGTCCGAATGTCTGTCTGTTGTAGAAAGGAAAAAAAAAACAGATTTCTCAAAAGGGTTTTTAGAAAAAAATATACAAAAATATATATCTTTTTTTTTTTTTACTCTACCCCAACGAGATGATGGATGCCGATACATTACTCACCACAGTATTCGCAAGCTTAATTACATTAAGAGGGTTGAACCACACCTGATACCTCTAGCAAACATTGGTTAAACACATGTTTCATGCCTCGTCAATAATTTGTCTCAAAAAATACACAAAAACTTTGACTTTCTTTCTATTTTTTTTCTTGTGATAATTATTCTTCTAAATTTCATTTGATAAATAGGAAAAATATTTATAAGAAGCAAAGCATTACTTTAAAGTAATCAGGGAGAAGAATAGAAGGTCTCTGGAGGGATGAAGGGTATTGTAATTTGAAGATAGCAAAGGGGGCACCTCTACCCCTAACTGTAGATAGTTTATTGGATTCGACTACTTTGTAATATTGATGTTCTTCGAACCAGATTGACAAGTAGAAGAGAGCCGCTTGGAGATGTATTATGTGTTTTCTTGATACTCTAGGGACAGACAAATCTTCCTTGTTTTCCCACTCTCACTCTCACTCTTCCTCTAAATTTTGCATAGTTTTAGTAGTACAACACGGGGAATATGACAAATTACCCAATAGAAAATAGGGACACAAGCGGTTTACTGTCTAGTAAATTGCTTCATCGAGTGAAAACGAATGCCATGAAGTATTTGATTTCATCCCCCCCTGTCTCTCTGTCTCTCTATCTGATCTGCAACCCGTCTGATTCCGAATTCGATTCCTGTTTTCTTTTATCTGATGAATCTTCCTCCCCTTTCTTACATTTTTCTTTTCGCTTCCTAACTCAGTTTTCGGGGGGTGTTTGGATGTCTCTGTGTTTGTTTTTTAAGATTAAACTTTAATTCTGGTGTTTATTGCGTATGAAATTTTAAATTTTAAGTGTAAGAGTTGATTTCTGTGCGCGTGATTGACTTCTAAACTTGTGTGTTTCAGAATCTACAAGCAAATAAGTGAGGCTCGTGTTAAAGAAGGTTACAAAAAGGCTGGAGAGAGGCTTCGATTCTCTAAAGAAGGCTCTGGAGAAGATTTGTAAAAGCAACATTAAAAAATAAGAAAGGCTCTTTGAAGTTAAGAAGAGCTTAATAAAGGCTCAATTTGGTCATTGATAAGAAGAACAGCTCGAGTTTAACTTTAATAAAAGGCGAAACTTATACTCAAGTTGAACATTAATAAACACTCCACACGAGTGAAGTAGAAGGCTCTAATTGAAGAGATTTAAAGAAAGAAGGCACGAAAAAGGCTCTAATTTAAATTATTTTAACGAGAAGGCATCAAGAAAGGCTACAATTGAAAAGATTTAAAGAAATAATATATCAGAAAAGCATTTGAAGATAGAAGGCACCAATAAAAAGGCTCAAATTGAAGATATTCAAAGAAATAAGGCTCGAAAGTAAGTTAAACGACATTATTATTATTATTATTTTCAATTTACAATATATTTAATTCAACTCCACCCCTCAACAACCATAAAGAGACCAAAAAATGTAAATAATTCCCCTGAAAAAAATAGAAATTCAGAGGGACGACGACACATACACACACAAAAAAAGTATATATATATATATATATATATCAAAATTCCACACACAAAAATATTTTCCCATCCCACAAAAGAAAAATATATCGTAAAGGCCAAACAATGCGAAGAGTTCGTCCGTATGTATGTGCGAGAGATCCGAGTTATATAAAAAAAAATCTATTTTAAGTGAGATGCTCAAAGTTTTACAAGCATAAAACATGCCAGTTGCACAAATTGTATTATAAACGAAAACGACTTTTTTTTTACAGAATGTATAGCTGCAGGCAATACATCCCTACCTGCTGTGAATACCTGGCATACTAGAGAGTGAATAAAAGTCGAAGTTTTTCTATCCACACAGATTGAATTATCGAAGGGAGAGAACGTGTGGAGTGTAGAAAGACTTTCACAGCTAGACTATGTAATGAGTAGCAGTAGGGGGGTTCTAATTGCTACAGTTCTCTTGGCCCGTTTTACTTCTTTCTAATGGACATAACGATTTTCTTTAACTTCCCCCCCCGTGCTAATTACTGATAAGAGCTAATGAACTGTACGTAAAAGTGTCGTTCTTGAAAACATCGTCATGGTAACCGCACGGATAAGTAAGAGGTTGAGAGTGAGAGAGTGTGTGTGTTGGGGGGGAGGGGAAATTATTTTCATTCAGGCTCTGCTTGGTTCCCCCTTTCACGAATTACCCACCCGTTTTTTGGCGTCCGTTCTTAGCGGGTTAAGTTAGTTGAGGTTTTGGCTTTGCCCCTCGTTATTGGAGGGTTTCGTTATCTGTGTCAGTTAGCTTCCTTTCTACATTGTTTTATGTGGAAGTGCTGCTTAAAGTGAGTGCGTTACGCTCTCGAGAAGTTATTTGTTGATAGCTATCACCACATTCTTCAGCTGTTAATGAGTAATTTTGGCTCGTTATAACGAGGTTTTTTTTGTGAATGTCTCTCCTCTAGAGTAGTTTGGAAGTTACTTAAACTTCCCTCCCTCGTTATAACGCTGAAATGTTTAGCATCACAGCGATTAAGATGTGTTTCGACACGTTATAAAGGGGGGTCATTAGGTATCCGAGAAAGGACCTGCAGTCGAGAGTCACGTATATAACGACATGCCTTTGATTATCTTGTTGAGAGAAGCGAAATTATTCTTTAAACTAATCCCTACTTCATATATAAATGGTGCAACACAATGACAGAGGCCATAAGTAGGGTTATGTAGGACCCATTACGAAAAGTGAATGGTTGGTAACGCCTCTCATTTATAACCAGCAAACGTTTTGACAAAATAATTAGGAAGATCAAGAACGAATAGAGGGTAGTTGGCAATTAATACAGTGGAGGGCCGGATTGAGTGCAGTGATGAGCTCGCGAGGTCACCATCTACACACCAAGGTCATACCTCAGAATCATATATTATGAGAACGAATACTACGATTTAAGCTTCCTTTTTATAGTTTTTCGTGGCTTTCCTGAAGGATCCTTTAATAAAGAACACCAAGAGCAATAGCCGCTGCCTCTTACAATCCTTAGCAAATATAGATTCTATGCCATAAATTATTGAGAAAGTGGATTCAAATTTAGTTAAAATTTAGTAAACAGTTTAGATCCATTAAGCTTATGTTAAACTAATGTCGTATATATTTAGTTATAGATTTAATTAAATTTAACTATGGACTTATAACTATGATCCTATTCGCATAAAACACCATTAATCAGGGAGGTTAGTAGTTAAATTGAGAAAGTTAGATTGGAGTTTATCAATAGAATTTGTAGAATTAGGGGGGGTCTAAAATAGTATTGTCTTAAGCTATATACTTAAGATTTAATGGTTGTATTAAGGCTCGATTTAGAGGGGAGTCTAACTTGCATGAAACTGTTAGGGTTCTATTAAGATTTAGAGGGTTTATATTAAGATTTCGGGTCTAATTTGGTTACTATTAGAGGTTTTGTTTCATTTTAAGTTAGATCTTTTATATATTTGAGTTTAAATCAAGGGGGTGAAGACTTAGCTACAAAAATTAAGCTTTAGATCCAGTTTATACGCAACCCGAAGCCATAAATCAAGCGAGCGTATCCAAAATTAGTAAAGATTAAAGAACTTGTTGATATTTGAAGGGGGGTTTTCATCTTAAGTGTGGTCATGTAGATACGAAGCTATAAATCAAGGACAGATAACGGCACCAAATTTAGTTTTAAAACTATATTACGTTATAGCGATGACGTTAGAAAGAGGAGGAAGGGAGGAGAGAGAGAGAGAGGGGGGTTATTTTTACTTATCACAGATGTGTCACATACAGCAAGATCCTTACAGGGTTACAGATATAGATAAAAATCTAACAGAAGAGAAAAAAAAATCCATTCAGATGTGAAAATCAACCAGATGGAGGTCACCTTTCGTGTGTTAAAAAAAGGAGGTGACACACAAAAAAAAAGGAGGCAGAGAGACTATTGAAAAGAATGGAGAGGGCTACCCAATAGAGAAGTCAAGTCATTGGTTGTGCATGCACACATCCGCATTATTGTCCCATGGTTTGGTTGCTAATGTCACGTTTAGCTTCGTTTAACTTAAAACGCAACACGCCAGGTGAAATTCTCCTTTTCTCTGTTTAAGGTGACATACCACCTGTTGTGAAACACACTCAATGAGAACCGGTTGCTCCCCATCACGTGATCGACGTTTGGTCCAATAGAAGAAGCGATTAGTAAAATTGTTTCTTGTAATAGCATCCAACGAAATTTAGCAAACTAATTGCTTAATGATTATTAAATTTTTCTGGATGATAACTTCATTCTCTTGTTGTCCCTATTAATCATTTTAATAATTAATATGCCACTATACCCGTGTTATACGTTTTTAAGAGGTTGTACCCTATTCTAGTAGCATTGTGGAGCATCAATTTGCCCATTGAGATTACCGTATAAATAGCCTTAATTCACGCTTACGACTAAATCGATTCGTAAATACCCAGCCTTAATTAAAACCAGATCCTGCAGGCTATCGTTCATAATCAATTTAAGAGCCTTTGGAAGCCTTTTATGGAGCTGAAATTGTCAAAATGGAATGCGATTTAGTTAAAAAGAAAGCGGGTTGTAATTAAGTTTAAAGGCTTAAATTACAGTTAAAATTAGCCTTAATGATTATCAGTTTATCGTAAAGACCCCATTAAAAATGTAAAAACGGTAACAAAATTACAAATAATTCTTTACTATTCTAGCGTGTAATTAAGGCTAAAGGCTCACGTATTAGATGATATTTTACGTTTTTAATAATAAGGCTAAGCATTTTCTAAGGTTTTAGTTCGTAAAATTTGTTTTAAAAAATCATAAAATCACTAATATTAGCCTTATTTCTAGGTATTAAGATTAGATCTTGTTAACAAGTATTTCAACTACTTGAGGCTCGATCATGTAATTAAGGCTACGTTTTTATTAATAAAAAGGCTTGATAATAAAATCTATGCATTTAATCTGATAAAATTAACAAAAAGTTTCGATAATTGTCCATAGAAGTAATTTTTGGCGTGTTTTGAGAGGTAAAATCCTTTGAAATAATAAGGCTCAAATGCTAAAATTATAGTTAAGCCTTCTCATTAGTAAAACTATAGCCTTAACTCGAGCCTGGTAATAGATTATTAAGCAATTTTTGGCGTGTTTTGTGAGGTATCATACAGTACAATCTTCTAAAAGATGCCTTCTAAAAAAATGAATTTTCTAACCTATTCAGGCTTATATTCTCGTATCTTAACTAAGCCTTATTAAGCACTTCTTATTATTAATACTATAGCCTGAATTCATCTCTTAAAACTTATTTAAAAAACGCCCAAAAAATGCGTTAAAAAGCAGTGCTTTAGAGGGAGTGTTTTCGTCCCCAAAATAATAAGAAATTACCTAAAAATTACCCCCGAAATGTCTTTTTTTTCACTTACAAGTAAAGACGAGAAGCAAAAGGAATAATTTAAATTTAAAGAAGGAGCAAAAATGTTTAAAGAATTCACACAAAATTAATCATTTTACATACACGGATCATTAATAATCGTAAAGATTCATTAAAGGGTATACGAATAATCTGGATAGGGACATTAAAGTAAAGAAAATGTCAAAAATTCTAAATTATTGAATATATAAATATATAGGTTAAGTTTGTGTTTAAAGAAATGTTTAAAGGAGGGAGGTAAAATCAATTTAGTACGTTTGTATGTCTGTATGTTTGATTGAACGTTCACACTGGGACCAACTACTAATCGCTAACGATTAAGGTTCCATCAGAAAGGATTAGGAAAACCTAAAGATTGGAGGGAGGGTTGAATTGACGTCACCTAGCAACTAACAAATTACGAAATTAGAAAAACGATCAATTTAAATCAAAAATCCTACCTCACGTGTCTATCGAATTATAAACAATTTTTTTCTATTTTAAAAAAATAAGGCACATCCCATTGGGGGTTCTATATAAAAAAAAACACACGCGCTCCTCTATAGTCATTGGTTGCCTCACTTTTTTTTTTTAATATTATTNCAACTGTTAAGTCCCTTCTTTACTAGTGTCTAAAGCATTAAAATAACACTACAAACAGTTCATAAATGTCTAAAAGTACTTTTAAAATTTTAATAATTGTAATATTTATGTATTTTTTCGTATAAAACCCTAAAAATTCCGAGAATAACTTAACTACAATACTCTTCTTTTAGTAGTATTTGAGGGCATTAAATAGAAAAATATTAGCTTTTCTATGCTCAAAAGCTCTAAAAGATCCTTATATAACGTTTTAAATAGCTCTGAAACATCTAAAAATTTAAAATATTTATATATAAAATCTTACAAAACCTTTCAAGAAAGCAGAAAACAATCAAAACGATCGACTTTAAGCATTAAAA